GTCATCAATACTTTATTTTTTCGTATAAAAATTCTATAGCTAGGGAAAATATTGTTTGAGTGGGTTTATCGTTCCCATTCGAAAGGTGAAGGGGCGTTGTTTCCTCCACCTTAAAGGTTAAGGAGATTAAGTTGTATTTACTCCTTCATGTTATGTCCTATGGATATGGAATTTGTTTTCCAGAAAAATATATAACTTCTTTGCAAAGCAGATTCCTTTGAAAGTTTCTCCATTAGGAACTGCATAAAGGAAATAAAAGCAATGGTCACCGGCTAATCATGTCTTCGAACTTCACCATATATCAAAAGTACATTTCTTTTTTGATCAGTCAGAAAAAATATAAGTACATTCTACCTAAGTAAATGTATTGACAATAATTGTCGAATTTCATGACACAATTTTTCTGGCAAGCAAAATGCTAACAATCTCATTTACATATCTAACAAACACAAATTTTATAGCAGAATTAAAAAACGTAGGAAGCACATGTACCATAAGAGCAATGATACAACTGCACCAACAAATCAAGCATCTTATAAAGCAGTTTAGAAAGATAACTCAAAATCCTCAAAGTTATTTTTTTTAATGACCGAGAAATCCGTCTGGGGCCGATTCTTTGGACCAACCGCATCCTTCGAAACTCGGTGGATAATGGGCCCGCCCCTCAAAATCCTCAAAGTTATAGTTAGAGAAACATAGTGAAGATAAATTTTCAATCCGTGTCTCTGAATGATTCTCTTTTGCTTCCAAAACAAAAACTATATATATCTTTGAGACTTTGACTAACATCAACAACAACAACATACCCATTATAATCCCACAAGTGATGTCTGGGGAGGGTAATGTGTATGGTTGTATGCAGACCTTACCCCACCTAGGGAGGTAGAGAGACTTTGACTAACATCGAATATAAATATTTTGAAATGCCAAAGTTAGACAATTGTAGTAGGGCACAGTAATTTCAAATTCTAGTTTCATTTCCAAAAGATAAATAAATTGACGCACAATCTTGCACTAAAAACTGGTAAACTGATTATCGGGAAGCACAATAGGAATAACAGGACAAATGGAGGAAATGTTGATAACCATCACATTCAATTCATACGTCTCAAATTTTCCTGATTTTCATTATTTTCTCATGGGTCATAGAAGGGGTACTCAAAAGAAGAGAAGGTGAGGCTACACACATTATATACCACATGAGGAGCTGAGAAAATAAAAAATAGTCCGAAGACAAATTACACATGGGAGTAAGTTGGCAAATAAGTTAGATGATGAGTTTATAATCTATTAACTCTTCAATGAACATCCATAGGACGATAGACCAAAAAGCTCCTATGATCCAATTGGCAAGCATGATCCTGACACTTCTACGAAGTCCACACAATAATCAAGATGTTCTGTGCTAGTTGAAACTGCAGTACCTTTTCTTAACAAAACAAATTCTAATTTCAGAGCTTACAGCCAGCATGCTACTCATAGATACGGGTGTTGTATCAACTCAGATCTTACAAACTCCAGTGCTTCAGAAAATATCAAAATTGTTTTCGCTTGTTGGAAAAGAACTTATCTCTTTTTACCCAAACATACAGAAGGAAAATTATAACTCCAGCAGTCATAGAAACTGACCCCCAGGGAAATGGTGGGTCCTTGAAACAGTCTAGCGATGCTTCCAGCTCTTGAGAAGCATGGTAAACAAGAGAATGAATGGCATAAATATCATGATCCGACGACCTCATGTAATACAGAGCCATTTCGAAGTCAAAATGTGATAGCGCTGAAACTGCCTTGTCTAGCTTGTACTTGAACAAGTTCCACCGCTGCACGAACTCAGTAAGCTGATTATGCTTCAGAAGCTTTCTCTCCCCGCCATGTGCAGCAATGGATCCAAGAACCTCAAGAGCACTAGTAATACTATAGTTCAACGATGTCAGCAACACATTTCTCCTCGCAGCATCCTTCTGGACAAACGACAAGGAAGAAACCTCCGAAAATGGGCCAAATGGTGTCTGCCCAATGCTCCACGTATAGTCAACTAGAGTACTGTTATGTCTCGGGCTCCATACCATATGTGTCGGGGAAACACCCCACATGCTCTGTAAGATGGAACCTACAAGGGGTCTCTCCAACTCGCGAGTCTGTGTAAACACATGACGCCCATTACAACTATAATCACTCACAGTCTGCGTACTCTTCGTCCTGACTGCAATAACCATATCCTTAAAGGCCACGGACTGATGATAACGATCAAGCAACAGAATCGTATTAACGTCCAAATCAAAAACATAAACCGGAAGAATCCTTCCAGCAAAGTCCTCCNCGCAAAGTCCTCCTCAGGAAGCTTAGCGACCTTCCTAAACTCCTCAGCCGATTCAGACAATGTCTGGTGTAAACGCTTTGAGTCCAGGTACTCACTGACAATCAGAGTATAATTATCAAACAAGTACCTAGAAGTATACGAAGTAGCAGCCCTAGAAATGGCAAAAGAACAAATAGGACACTCTGCTAAATTCACCTCATACTTCTTAAATCTCAAAGATTGATCACCAAACAACAACCCATTTTCATTTACTTCATCCATGAAATTCCTCTCTATCAACTTCCAATCTAACCCAAAACTATCCTTATTATCCGATATACTATGTATATGTATAAACTCAACAATTAAGGAATTCTCAAACGGGACAGGAATTCGCAAAGAGGGCACAAGAAGAACCTGATAAGCACTCCAAACCAACGACGCCAAATCCGAAAGCAGTGCCCTTTGGGACTTCGGGCGGCCGTGCAACGAAGCAAACGGATGAAACTCGCCACGTGGCAGCACGCCATCGCCGGACAACGCAGGCCCATAATCAACCGGGCCAGCTCCCAAATCAATCCATAAATACCGATCTTTTCCAGTCCATACAGTGCCCAAACACTTAGTGAAAGACGGGGACGGATCTCCAGGAGTGTAGCTGTAAGCATAGGGTTTTGACTGGGAGCCCAAATTGAGAATATAAATATAAATCCCATTAATTGGTTTCTCTTTTTCATAGTCCTGTTTGATTAATTCATCGATGATCTCGTGCGGGACGGAGGCGAGCACGGATCTGAAAGATGAAGGGACAGTGGAGAGGTGAGTTTTGAGGGTTTCAGATAAACGTGAAGAAAGGGAATTAGAAGAATGCGACACGTCAAGGTGAAGGGAATGGGAAATAGAGAGATGATGAGATGGTTGATAAGAGAAAGGGGTGATGACGTGGAACTGATCGGAAGAAATTGCAGAGCTGAGAAATGAAGAGAGCTGAGATTTGGAAGAGGACGAGAAATTGGAGCCGACGAGCTTGACGGTGATGGGGACGGAGAGTTGGAACGAGAGGAGGGAAGAAGGAGTGGTTGGGTTGTTTAAGGAGGGGTGGGCGAGGTGTTTTTTGAGGGAAGAAGGAAGGGAGAGGAATGAATCGTTTGTGGCAGTCGGGTCAACCCGGGATTGTTGAGCGAGGAAGGAGTCTAGTCCCACGATTGGGGCGGAGATGGTGGTTGTGATGAAGAGTTGAAGGAGGAGGAGGACGGCGGCGATGACGGTGGTCGGAGGCATGTTGTCGGAGTTGTAGGATCCCGGTGGGGATAGGGTTTGGGGTTTGAGCGAAATGCGATGTGAGTTGACTGACGGAATTGGGAGTGAAGGACTGAGGAGTACAACTGCGAAGCTGGTCAATAACTCAATTTTTTTCCTTTTTTTTTATGACGGAAAAAACATAATTCCGTGCAAAATTAATTACAACTTGCACTCTGTTCCATTTTATATTATTTGGCTGGAAACAAAAGTTAAATTATCTTTGTGATAATATAGGACTCACTATTGTAGAGAAGATCTAGAAACATATTAAAGTAATACACAAAAATTATATAACAATTTTATGAATTGATTTTGTAATTCTGAATTTTTTTTAAAATAATACATAATGTATACATCTAATTTTTAACCTTCGTTATTTTTCAAATATTCTTTTGGCTGAAATTGCTTTGCTTTCCAAATTAGTAGGTCAAGCTTTAATATAAATACATTACATTGTTTTGGAAGCAAATAAATACTTATATTTTGTTATCTAATTTTTAGAATTTGATTTTAGTGATATTCTATAAAATTGTCATTTTTATCGTTGTACATGTATATAACTATAGATGTAAATATAATTTGGTGCGTAATTTTGTTGTCCTAATAGTTTGTAGTATTATGAGCCCGTTTGAATTGACTTTAAAATGTGACTTTTCAGCAGAAATAGCTTTTAAGCCAAAAACTAGTTAGTTGGGGTTAGGGCTGTGCACGAATCGGATCAGATTTAGCACATTTCGGATTCGAATTTCGGATTCTAAAAAATGCAATCCGAATTATATCGGATTGGATCGAATTTTAAAGTTTGGATCGGATCGGATTTTGGATCGTATTATTATGCCTCAAAGTTAAATTAATATGTATATTTTCTTTGTAAAAGAAGCAATACATTAAGAAAAATTCATGTTTATGCACTTATGAGAGTACTATGGTGTCAATATAGCTAAATCTAACAATTGTAAAGGTAATAACTTGGCGGTTGATGTAAAGGAAGTACTGACTATCCGAAATTAAAGTGTAGTATTTATACATTCTCTAATAATTTTGGATTTCGGATCGGATCAGATCGGATTAAAATATATCAATCCGAATCCGAAATTTTAAAAAATACAATCCGAAATCCGATCCAATCCGAAATTCGAAATTGAATGGATCGGTTCGGATTTTGGATATCCGATCCGAATAAACAGTCCTAGTTGGGGTTGCCCAACTTATTATTTTTGACCTTTTAAAGTAACTTTTAACTTATTTGATGTATTTTTTGACTTTGCCAAATGCTAAAAATTTTTTTAAAGCTGATTCAAATCAGTTTAAAAGTCAATCCAAACAAACTTTGTATAAGTTAGAAATTTCCTTGATTTTAGAAGTGAATTAAAATAAGATAATAAAAAAAATCGGAGGAACCCATTTTGGGAACCGTTTTACGGGATTGAATTATATTTCACTCGCATATGAGCTTCCTTTTCAAAATAGCTCCTCTTCCATTTTACAATTCTAGAAATTTCTCACACAGTTCGCCATTCATTTGTGATTTTAGGGTTTGAATAGAGAGAATCCAAAAAATGGCGGACAGTTCACCGGCGACTCGAAATAACTCGACAAGCATAACAGACCTCGACATGGACGCATTGGTTCACTGTGCAACTTATTTGAATCTTCAAAACCTGTCAAACATGGCTATGTCTTGTAAATACCTTCAAAGAGCTGCCTATTCTGACTATATTTGGCAATCCCTTTTCAGGTTATACTTTCTCCTAATTAAACCCTTGTTAATTACTTATTTGATAAGGGTTGGATATAGATACAATCTTTTATAATACTCGTAGCAATTATGCATCTCTATTTGCGAGCGAATCTGCGGTGTAAATGTAAATGAGCCTAGCAGCACTATCGTCCATCTAATTGAAGAGAAATCAGCACTATTTCACTCTTTCGAGTAGGGCAGTTTTTATTGTTTAACTCAAAAACTGAATTGAAAATTAAAGCTACTGCTAAACTTTGGTGATGTAGAGCAACTTTTAACTGCTTAGGGTATTGGTATCTTAAATCATATATCTTCTTACATATTTGCCAAATTTACTTTCTGATTACTGATCAAAAAGAGAGATCTTCTTATATATTGGGAGTCGTGGTTTCTGAATAATTAACACAAAAGTAGTTCGCATTGGAAGCTAAAGAGTATTCAGAAGTAGGCCTTGTTTCTTTAAAGGAAGCTAATTTGGGAAAAGGACTCTCCAAAATGCTTCAAAAGTACCTATGATTGGAAAATTGTGACTGTTTGGTGTGTTATCAACAGATTATCTTCTCTGCTTCCAGTATTTCATTGCTTGCCAGTTTCTTAGAGATTAGTACTAAGCTCATTTTTTCAGACAGCAGTGGTCTCCAATAGTACCTTCTAGCTTTCCTCATATACCAACTGCCAGGGAAGCGTACCTTGCAAGGCGTAGTGATGTGCTGCAGTTCAAGTTCGTTGACCCTATCGTTGTAGAGTTTGCTACTGAGGTTAAACCTCATGAAAATTTGCATCTTGACAAAGACAATATCATATTTTCTCAGGTAGTATGTCGACCATTTCTTCAAATTCCTGTCACAGTACAATTAGCTATTCCTTTCATAGAACTCAAAAGTGCTTACAAAGTGCATCTTGGTGGTTGTGTGTGCAAGGAGGGGTTACAATTAGCTATTACTTGACTACATTATCTTAGATATTTTCCTTCAATTGCAATGTGGACCTTAGACCGGTAGTTGTAATCCTTATTTTCTGGAGTCGAGTTGATAGAATATTCAACCATATTTATTAGTATTTATATGACACGATTTTTGTTAATAACTTGTATGCAGGGATCTTCAGTCCATATAGTGAACATTGGCAATTTTCTGGATGGAAGTGATCCGTATGTCACACTCGGTGATCACACCTCCAGAATTACTTCTATGAGGTTAGAGTTGCTTTACATTTTCTTTTTCTGTGGTCCAAGTGAGATTTGAGAGTTAGCACTGTGAAATTAAGAAGCAAAGTAGATGGATATGTTGAACTCATCTCTGCTTCAAGATGGGAAATGTTCTTAGGAAGCTACAGAGTGACCATCTTTGGAGAATGTTATGGGCTTCACGCTTCATCCAAGATAGACTTGAAGGATGTAACTGAACAAGTTCTGGATTAGCTGATTCAGTACTTGTTTGCTTCCCTTACAAATATGTTATGTCTTAGTTTTGATATTTCTTTTTAATATGTGTAGCAACAGCCATAATCCTACTAACTGCAGATTAATTCCATTTGAAGAGACATGCCTGTATAGTAGCAAGATGCAGAAAAATGACAATCTTTTGGTAACCTCAAGCTTTGACCATTCAATTCGGCTATGGTGGAAGGTAGTCTAAATAACTCAAGATGACTTTTAGTTCCTTTAATGTTTGCGTGAATACTTGTATTTGTCCTGGGTCTCATGAGTTATTGAACCTACTGAGCTTATGAAACTCGTAATCAATTCTTGTCCTGTCAGTGACGTTCTAATCTGCAAATTCTTTTAGTTGAATCTCTTAAAACTTATTATTGTTAATTTTAAGTATTGTTTTCACCATATCATGGAGTTGTCATACTTGCTGTTTTACTCAATATTCTTTGCTGAATATCATTTTCCTATTGCAAAAGAAAGAAATAGAGTATTCTTCTGATGCATCATGGCTGCTCCATAGCCTATAAGGATTTTGTGCTAAAGTGTGTTTACATTATGATGCAGATTCCCATCAGTTGAACTATTGAAGTTTTGCATATTTTCTTTTCGCGCAAAATTATGTTTACTTTATGATACTGATTCCCATTAGTGGAACTGTTGAATTCTGCACATTATTTTGAATGCAAGGACAGCCTAAATTCTCATGATGCTTTGGTACCAAGAGAATATGTCAATTCGGTGAATGTCATGTTCTATGCATATGCGCATGCATCAGTTTCTGGTTATGTTCGTTTTATATTCTGTATATGGGTATCCAATCTCTTTAAATAACTATGTTGTCCGTCATTTTCTCAGTTTTGCCTGTGGGATTCATTTTTAGGGGCGTTGTCAACGATGTTTCAGAGGCCATAATGGTCCAGTTTCCACACTTTCAGACAAATTGTTGGGTGATTGTCCTAGTAATATACTTGCAAGCGGTGGTTTAGATGGAACTGTTCGATTATGGTCCCTTGATTCTAGTGGTAAGCGCGGCCAACAAGCTTTGAAGGCAACACTTTACGGGCATGAGAAACCTGTAGTGCTGATGTCAGTTGCCGGGTATGAAGTAATTGCTCTGCATATTTGTTGCAAATTATCTTTATTATTATCCTGTTTTGCTGCCAAAACTTCTTGCTTGGGAAATTGGCATCTGGATTTGGTTCTCTTGGTGCCAGTTTTTGGTTAACAATCTGGATTGTTTCTTTCCTCCCTGAATCGTTGCAACAGAAGCAGTATTTAAGGAAACAGCCGTTGTTTTTGGTACAATTGTACTGATCTCTAGTGTATAGATTTTAAGAAACGAGCATCTCCAACGCGATATTGCAATCAAGCAGGAGCTTGCATTAGCTTCACGTCTATCTGTTGTTAATTAGAGTTAAAATGCTATATTGAGTTACTCCACGATGTTCTTACAGGCAAACAGTGAAGGTCAATCATAAGGTGTAAGCATTTTGAACATTCTTTTTTCTAAAATTTCTTAAAATCGGAAAACTTATTCCCAAAAAAAGAGAAATATTTATTGATTCAATTATCCAAAAGAAAAAAGATAGAAAATATATAGAATACTGAGGAAGTACAGTATTAGTTGAGGTCTGCTAAAATCTAATGATAACTTTTGATAAATTGGGATCCAATAGTTGTGATGGTTTGAAAGCCCAAAAAGATTTAGTGAAGTAGTCCTGGACTACTCCACCCAAAAGCCGAAATACGCCTATGCTTATTGTGATTTTCAAAGCTGAGTTATCGTGATCTAATATTTATACACTCATCAAATGTATTTTGGAAAGTTATTCGTAATGTTTATTATCATTCATGTTAGTACCGTGTGCACCGTGCAATCCAGCGACGTGAATACCCAACTGAATATTTGGAACTGTTTCTCTTGCAGTATCATTGGCACTCTCAGGGTACAGCTGTGATTTTCTTTCATCTGTAATCACACGGACATTAAACCAATTTCTCTTGCAACATGCATAACCAAGAGACTTAACCCAAGAAAGCAATTCTTTGTAACTGAACATATTAAGTAGATAGAAACCTGCTTTCTTCTGGTTTCCTTCTTTCTGTTTATGATGATCTGCTGGCTGCTTCAGATTTGGATCACACAGTGCAGGGGTAGTCAATATTCTTTGCTATGAATATGAATTGAGAGAAATCTAACCTATAGCTTGGTGAATCTTAGTTTTTCTGATGGAAACATTAAATTCTTTTAAGAGGTTGTAATTTGAGCTTTGTCTTCTTCTCAACTGTCTTATTGTCTGAATCTCTCTGGTTTCAGGCACAAGACATATCTTCTAGTTAGCATATCAAAGAACTCCAAGGTATTGTGATCTGTGTTGGGACATTTTAGTTTGATTTATGATCAAGCTACACTAACGGTGCCAAATTTGAATGTGGTTCTAAAATTTTCCATGACATTTTATTTGATTATGTCGACTACTAGATTTTGCACATTCTCTTTTTGAGTCACTATTATGTTTTTTTCATTTACATTAATTTTCTTGTTATTTAATATGAAAAACTTTTGATTAGAGTATTAGCGAAATTAGCTCTCAAGGGGAGTTTTGGAGCAACGGTAAAGTTATCTCCATATGACATAGGTCACGAGTACAAGCCGTGGAAGCAGCCTCTAATGCTGCTTGCATTAGGATAGGCTGTCTACATCACAGCCCTTGAGGTGCGGACCTTCCCCGGATCGTGTGTGAATTAAGGTTGTATTGTGGGTCGGGTCTAAATGGGCTAAACGGGCCAGGCCAAAAGGTCCCGGGGCTCTGGCGGGCTGGGCTTAGCGGTCTTGGAGGGTGAAACCGGCCCACTACGAGCCTAAGCCTACATGGTCCCGGGCTAAATGGGCCGGGCTCAC